CCTGTGGTATTTCCCGTACAATATATGCCAATCAGTCTTTCAACAGGCTTCGGCGTCTCACTATTTCCAACATATCTTACTGTCAAAGCTATTGCTTCTGATTTCGAAACATCATATGTGCCATCAACTATGATTGAAAAGCACCTGTTAAATTCAATCTCATTTTGAATTTTTTTATAACCATATTTTTCATGGTTTAATGAGAATATTTATGTTATTATATGTTAATAGATTTGCATATTATTTCGTTTTTAATCCCTTATTGTTTTTCTCACAGTACAGGTTCAGAATCTGCAATGAGTTTAATAAGGCCCGCCATATTGCCTTCTTGTAGCCTGTTCCCCCAGAAGGCTTGGTTACGAGATATTAAATAACCTAGACATCTTATTAATATTCTTATGATAGAACGGTTATTATCCACACATTCTTTCTGGGGTATTATAAATTGTAATATGGAATTTTTGTGTGAAAGCTTTCCATAATCGGCCATCATATGTGCCTGTGAAGATTCATGCACAATAATATCACTATTAAATTTCATGATCATTAAAAGATTCAGATATTATATTTTTTTCTAACACACTTTTTTTGGTTAATATTTTTAGGCATATGTTGAAATTGGGAAAATAATTTATGACAAGAAATCTCGGATAACAACCTAATTTACTAAACATCTATCTAAAATTCCCGCCAATACATATTAAATTAATAAATAAGTGGGGGGGGGGTCTTATTATTACATACACAAACCAGAGATCAATTGGTTATGGATGGATGTAGCAAAACAATAAAAAAAAAATATTAAAATAAAAATTTTTTTTAAAAAAGTTCCCCCACCCCCACTCAAAATTTTAAAATAAAAAATTTAAAAAAAAGTACTCCCACTCAAATTTACTGAAGCAGTTGCTTCGGACCCCCCCCCCCTCCCCGTTGTAGGGGCCACTGCAGGCCTCTGACAAATATTTATGAAAATTATATGATTGATAAAGAGAAGTAAAAAAATTAAATTTGAAAAAAAATATAAGAAGAAAAAATGATAAAGACACTTAATATGTAGGGGAAAAAACATTGGTTAAAATAGAGAATTGAAGAAAAATGAAATTTTAATAAAAAGATTTAGAAAATAATAATAAAAAATGAGAAGGAAAATAAATTAAGAATGACAAAAATTGAATTAAATTATTTATATGATAAGGAAAATTAAATATAACCAAAATTTTATCAAAAATGATATTTCAGGAATATTAAACTTGAATTCTTTTTTTTGACTGACACTTTCTCATTTTCAATTGGATTTTTCCCTTTTTGATTGACATTTTTCCTTTTATGATCAGACCTTTCCTAAGCTTTGGTGCATTTTTTTTGATTGATTTTCTTAAGTCATTGGTACTTTATTTTTGATTAACTTTTCCTTTTTTGGTTCTATCATTTTATGTTTTTAGTACTTTTCCTTAACTATAATCGGACCTTTTCCTTTTTTGATCGGATTTTTCCTTTTTTGATCGGTCCTTTTCCTTTTATGATCGACACTTTTCTAATAGAAATTTGAAGTTCACTTTAGAAAATGGGAAAAAGAGTAGGATATGATTTAAAGTTTAGTATTAAGGTAGTGTTGTTAAACGGCTCGTTTTGAGCCGATTTTTAAAACGGCTAACTCAATATTTCATCTAGAATAATATTACTCACGCCTGAAGATTTTGTTTGTAGAAGGAACAAAGGTTTGGACATCTATTAGCGAAATCTCGAGGCTTAGGCAATATTTTTCTGGCTAAAATATTGAGTTAGCCGTTTTAAAAATCGAAACAGCCGTTTAACAACACTAATTAAGGCAATGAAAAATGTAGAAGATTGAGTATTTGTAATATAAAAAAATATTTAGATTCTGTTTCTTTAATAGATTTCTTGGCAGAATATAGAACCTAAGGAAAGACACTACATGTGAATTAGAAATTAGCACAGCCTAATTTCTGTTAAAAATTTGATTCTATGTGGCCGATAAAATTCTTTTCTTGATATGGCCCATAAAAAATTTAATATTATCTGATCTGGCCTGATTATTTTTTTTTGAAGGAAACATACGTAAAAATAAATTTGCAATATTCTAATTTTATTTTGAAATTCTTCTTTAAAATATTTCGTCCAAAGAAATTAATTATCATTTTCTATTTATATAATGGTGATTTTTATTGTATTTTATAAAAATGAATTTAATTTATATTTTTCAATTAAAAATTTAGGGCCTAACCTGGCTCCCGCTTAGAATAGAGATTCGGGTCAAGCTTAAAAATAAATGTAAATTTTGGTAAAGCCAACTTGGGCTTAAATATTAATAAATAAGAATTCGGGCCGAGAATATTTGAATTTGCAAGGCTCTAACCTCAATCTTGATACCAGGATTTTAAAAAAATCTAATAGTAATATCCCCTTCCTTATAAGATTCTTATCAATGTGCATAGCATATACATTACATGCCATATTATATAATAAAAAATCCATTTCAAATCGCCTAAAAAAATTAACTAACAGCTGTGTTGATAATGATGCTAAATAAATTATTTTATTGGCTTTTTTATTTATTTTTCATCAAAAAAAATCCGTTAAAAAATATTGATTTTTTATAAACACAACGATAGAACTTTGGCATTTCACTTGGTTGGCATCTCACTGTAGGGATAACGCCTTTAAGAAACGTTTCTTTTGATTCCCCATACCTTACTCATGTTGCTTGTGTTTTTCTAAGAGTGAGAAACAGTATTAGGTGAAGGTTTTCTTCATAAATTTTTATGGAGAGCTTTAGGCTCACTTATTATAAGTCTTTGGCAAGGTTACATATAAAATTTTGGTTTTTTTACTTTGAATGCTTTTATTTCTGATTATTTTGAATTAGTCATTATTTTAAAAATTATCTAATTTATACTTAATTTTCTTTTCCATTATTGTTTATAATAGCATGGACAGGGGGGGGGGTCAGTTGTGATCTCCTTCCGCTTGGAAAATATGCTTGAATAAAATTTTACGTTTTCATAATATTTTTATATTCATATCTAGACGAAATTTTCATTTCGTTTCGTTTTATATTCATAAACCCTTCCTTAATTTTCTATTAAAAAGGTGCACGAAAGATTTCTAAAAAATTACGAATAATCAAATTTTCATGATAAAAAAAAAATTAAAAACCTGGATTTTCCAAAGACGCTAAATTAGTAAGGGATGGACATTTGACCTTTCTATTTCCAAGTATAGCAGCAATCTTAAAATTATTAATACCTTACTAAACAATCACTCAATATTGGCGCCTCAGGGAAAAAATTTTCGATTTCGTTTTCAATTTCACCATAATCAATTTTCTAAAAATTATAAAGACTTTTTTTTATGCTGCACATATTAAATTATAAAATCATCAAAACTACAGACATATTATTTTACTGTTTAGCAAACGGATTGAAGTAGCTAAAATGTATAATAGTTCACTATTACTATTGAGCGAAGCTTTAGAATATAAGTGTTAATAAGTTTGGCATAGTTAAAACTACTTTTCATATGAGATTCAAGTTTATATTAAATTTTTGAAAATATAACTCGTTCAAAATATAGTAAAATTTTACCTATAATCTTTATAAAGTTTATAAAATCATAAGATTCAAAAATATTTGAATCAGGAAAATTGAAACCCTCATTTATTTAAACCTATTTGATTTTTGAATTGCAATTTAAAATCCGATATTTAAGACTCGCTAAGGCTTGCCGTTATAGTTTTTTTATTTAGCTTATAACTGATTTCTGTTTATTGACTGGAACTGAGAAATATTAACCAGATGCCCACTCAGATATTCAGTGCTTCTATAATTTTCACTAGAATGATGCCAATCTTGACAATTTTTTCTTATTTTAACAATAATGCCTTTTTCTTTAAACTGCCACCAAACGAGATGAAGCGCCAAAATGTGTACTAAATACGACGCATATAAATTTCAAAATTGATGGTTCCAAAAGTTTGGCTGACATGCTTTAGGCATGATATTATGGTTTTTTTAGCTTTTTGGTTTCTATTTTATGGTTGGTAAAATTGATTGAAAGTTATAATTAATAAGTAAGGCACAAAATATTAACAAGCTAGATATTTTTAACTTCCATATTCTCCCTTTTCGCTTTAAACTATCAATCAAAGAGATTAAGGCAATAAAATCTTAAACATTACATATTCAGAATTAGGGTTTCCACAAGCCAGGTTTTCACGTTTAAAACTTGACGTGATAGTCTCCATTTTGTTTACTCGCTCTTTTTTTGTGGTTTGAAAACGGGTCGGAATTAATAAGTACTAGTCTGGCAATGAATATTAGCGCAAATCAGATATTTAGTTCTTCTATATTTTCTATTCTGGCATTAGGCTAACAAGCGAAGGCCGGGCAATTAATATAATCTAACTTAAATTAAAATTGGTATATGATAATTTCAATATTTTTTAGATATTTAGTAAGGCTAAGATGATGCGAAACTCCCTCTCCCCCCAAAAAAATCTTACGCCCCCTCCTTGGATAGACTAGCTAAGCCACTACTGATTTAACCAATCGAGCATTAAAAATATTTTGAATGTAAAAAGGATGTTCTAAAAAGATAAAAGAATCGACAGTATAGAGTCAGACGATAGCAGTATTTTTAAAAAATATTTAAATATCATAATTAGAAGCCGGCACAAGAAAATTGCAAAGTTATGAACCAAATATATTTTAAAATTTAAATATCCTGGATTCTTAATTTATTTTACCTTTAAAAAAAAATGTTACAAAATTTCCAGAATTTATAAATTATCTATTTTTCGTGCTTATTATATTCAAAAAAATCGGTTTTTATTTAAGCTCTCCTTTTATTCGTGAAATTTATAAAAACAAATTATATCGATTATATTGATTATATGTTTTATTTTTTTTATTGATTTTGTTATAGATTTTTACTAAATTTTATTATTAAATTATCAAAAATATTTTTTTTATTTTAAATAGAAAATGATATGTGAATCGGCGATAAATTAATCTAACAAAGGATAAAAAAAAATGATTTTTTAAAACCACCTAGAAAATATTCGTTATAATAAACCAAATCCTTATGTCAATTCATGAATTAATTTTCCCACACATATCATATAACTAAAATTCTAAACATCTTTTCGTTCACATTTGAATTCAGTTATTAAATTAGAATGGAGACTTACCTGAGGCTGTAAGATACTTTTGTTAAATTAAAAAAAGGATGATCCATGGAAGATAACACTTGCCTCAATAATCCACCTTTACCTCCCAGCTCCCCTATTGATCACATAAATCCCCCATTACCATGTAACATTGATGATAATATCAATGCGATTACCAATAACTGTATCGAATTCCTTGATGATACACTTAAAGATAAATTAAATCCAGAAAATTCTATCTTTTACGAAGAAGAATTATTATCATCGAATGAAAATAATGATATTACCATTAAGGTGGATATAGAGGATCTTGAATGTTTTTCTGACCCAAAAGAGAATTCAAATGAGAGCTCGAAGGAAAATCAAGTAAATTTTATAATATAATAATGTTTAAGATTACCACTATACAAATTATACTATCACACTTATTTAACTCTTGTCGAGGGGAAGGTAGCTTATATACGTTTAAAAAAATATAAATTTAAACGTTGAAGGCTAATATTGTTAATTATATGTAACGTAAGATGGGTTCGTTTTAGTATAATAATATGCACATATTATTTATATTTGCTATCAACATCATTATAAATTCGATTTTAAATAATATAACAATTAAACACTTATTATTGACAATATAAGAATACGAATAATGACACTATCCTATGCAATGGCATCGTTGTTGAAAAGGATTCCTATCTCTACTCAAACTTATTTGAGAATCACAACTTGGCGATTTCTTTATCTAATCGGTTTACTGAAAATACATTAGTCGAACAAACGAATATTAGCATAGTTAAGTTCTTGTATATATATTTATGTTTAGTATTTGTAGGATAATGAGGCTATATCCATTTATATATATATATGATATAGGCCCGATAATTCGTTGAAAATATCAATTATCGGCTAATATCATTAAACTGGCCATATATCATAATGGCGGATAAAAAATTATATATGTTGGTTATATTAAATCATGGAATTTTTAAAAAAATATATAATTTTTTGAAATAGGGTTAGCCCAGTTGTTTTATTATTAATATGTATAAATTTTATTTCCCCATAATGTTATTATTAAAAATATGAATGGCCGATATCAATTTGATATCGGTATCGGTATAATTGGATTAAAAAGCATTATCATTACACCTCTAATTATATGAATTATATTCATGTTTTTTAAAATTTACCTTCAAAAAAGTTATGTAAATGATTAATAAACAATTCCTAGAGTTTCTTTTTTTACTCCATTCATTTACTTATATTTTAATCTGTATACGATATACAATTTATATAAAGTTATCTTATAATTTAAGGACAAAAACAACTCAATCAATTCTCAGCCGGATTCCAAACTTGACTTAAGCCTGATAAATGATCCCTTAGTGATCCCAGATGAGAATCCAGATAATTTAGACCCATTAAACATGATTAAATCATCAATAATATCACCTTCTTTAACTCCTACAAATGAATCCAATAACCATAATATAACAACCGCCACATCTACTGATATCTTTGGTGACATTTCTAACATCACCAAGGAATGCGAAGAGAAAATATTCGATGAAAACACAATTCACGCCAATAGCAAACGTTTGCATATATCTAATATACCATTCAAATATAGGGATTACGATTTAAAAGCTCTTTTCACCGTAAAAATCCTTATTTATTTATTTTTAATATTTACAGAATTAATGACACTTTATAAACTGTAAAGTTGACGAAAACTATCACAGAATAGAACACTATCAACTTAAAAATACACTAATTAAGTTAAAAGGCCACAGGTTTTAGGTTAAAATTCATTATTATTCTCATCAAATCCATTTCATTATATTTGTAATTCAAATATGCAGATTGAAAACTCATTTTTAAAAATTAAACGATTCTTTTATTTTTCAACCTCCTTTACGTAGCAGGGTAAAAAAAAGTCATATCACATCATTTACCACTAATCTTTTCCGCAAATTTATTACTGTTAGTATATTACCATGAATGCATTTCCTCGGAATAAATTACAGCTAAAACATTACCGCAAATGCATTCCATGTTAAAGTTTGATGGGGGGGGGCGTTAAAGTTAAGAATAATATTTATAGTCCTGGGTCTCTAGGGATATTATATTATATATTGGGTTACAGTACTATAAATTAACTATGTAAATGATTTACTTAACTTCATCAATATGTTTTCGGATTTTATTCGCTATGATATTTTTGTGGTATCTTTCTCGCTGGTATATTCGCGGTAATGCATTTCCAATATAATTGGGTAAGGGCTAAAAATTAGCGAATTTAGCTCAATCTACTTTCCCGTGCCAAAGAGCGTAAGTTAATCAATTTGCGCTTTCTTTAAAGTTGAGCTATATTTTCAAAAAATACCCATAAATGATTTTTATTTCAATCGCTATTTTTTTTAATATTCCGGTAATTAGAGAATTATGGATTTAGATTAAAAAACATGTTATAATTTTTTTTTTACCTCAGTATAATATTATCTTGCAAGTAAATTGTTAAAAATTATTGAAAGAATACATAATAAATGAGCTTTTTCGATAATCGAATGTCAATTGATAGCTGATGACATGTATATACACAGATGCTATATCTATTTTATTTTAAACAAATTTAACTATTCAATATATGTATTTTATTGGAGAAGATGGTTAGACAAATTATTTGCCAAAACGACTACTATTGTGGAATTCCTTTATTAAAATAGAACTGTTTAACTATTTTTTGGAGCATAAGATGATGATGGTTTTATTATTTTTAAATTTAGCTATTGCTATTTCGCATTAGCTTAATAAAGACCTTAATAAAACGCGGAATTAAAAAGAAGTAAGTTTAGCCTACTCAACTATGATTCCCAGTAATGTTTTCGTTGCAATATATTAGCCGTAATGATTTCACAGAAATATTTTTTTGCCCTAATATTTTCTTGATATTGAATACTTGTTTATAACCAAAGAAATTAAAGGAAAATTATATTACAACAAAAGAAAAAAAGGAAGTTAGCTTGGTATACTACTATTACAATTTACAAGTCATTTGTCGTGCCTGTCTAATATTTTTATTTTGCTTATTTGACAAATTAAATTTTTAATTTACTATTTCTCATATTTTATTGGAAGGAATATGGGCCCATCCTCGATGCCGAAATCATATTCAATGAAAGAGGATCTAAAGTAAAATTTATGCTCGTGATTTTGCATGATCTTATTTTTTATATAATTTATAAACCTATTTTCATCTGATAAATTTATATTAGATTTATATATTTTTGGGTATTCAAGAAAACAATGGGAAACAATTTTTTTTTATTTTTTATAAAAAAAATTGTTTTATTTTTCTGGCAAAAATTTGCATCTGTTAAAAAAAATATAAAGCATTAAATTTTTCAGTATAAAGTAATCGATCATGTATCATGTGAGCATATTGTTAAATAAATACACTTACTTACCAAGCCCTTCCCTATTTAATCCGCAATGGGCGTTATCTTCCTGTGAGAGTTTCAGTAAGTTGGTTGTCTCTTACATGCACAGGTAACTGCTGCCTCCCTAAAAATAGTGAATGGTCTCCTTGTAAATATATACAGATTTAGATGAGAATTAGAGTCCGAGTCTCTGTTTTAATTTACTACCCTAGAGTGATGACTTCAAAATGTCGAATATGATTATTTATTAACGAAATGAATTCTTGCCATCACATATATATCAGCCCTACTATACCAAATCAGTTCCGCAGGCTTTTGCCCACATTATAGCACGACTAGATTCTATTAAACCAGTATATTAACCCTAACCCATATCTCTAAACTTTTCATTTCATTCCTAATAATCCATATTTCTAAACTTTTAACTGTAACCCTAATCTATATCTCTTTAATCTTGTAATTATATCTTTGACCTTTTATTTTTTACCCTACCCATATCTCTAACCTTTTAATTTTGACCCTAACATATATCTCACCTTTTAATTTTAAACTGACTATTACTATTATAAATTTTAATGTTCAAATTAGACAGGTTTACTGTTTTACTTTTGAGAATTTATTTTATACGTAATACGTGATATATAGCGCATTCGCCCTCTAACGTTGAATAATACAACAGAGCAACGCTAGGTTTTCCTCATTTCCATCTAATTGGAATTTATTAATTTAAGGGGGGAAAAAAATATGAGGAGCCCTCCACACGTTTGTGGGCAAGCTGCACGTACTTGTACGCACAACAATTCTGAAGAAATGTTATTAAAGCGTCTATAGGCTTAGAGGAAAAGAGAGGGACCAAAAAATAGCCTACACCCAAGAACTGCTTTTAAAATTAATTACTTTAAAAAGATAATAAAAAAAATAGCCTATTGTTTCCTTGATTACCTATTTTTGTTAATCCTTTCTTCTTGCATAAGATTTTTATTAGTTATAATTATGAATATGATTAAAAAGTTAGTTGATATGTTATAAAAAATGATAAATTATAGTCACTAACTGACAGATTTTAATAGTTATACCTTTTATTAAAAATTTTATTTGATATTATATGAGTTAGAATCTTCATTTTACATAACTATATCAGAATTTTGCCAATAGCGATTATTGTTTTTTAAAAAATCAAGTCCAGCTGGCTGTGTAAAAATTATTTTTTTATCAATATTAAAATAAAGCAAAAAAAATTATAATTTTTTATTTTTTTATACATACATAAACAAAGATGTAGAGAAAGTATTATAGTTGTTATATTTGTAATAAGTTATATGAAGCAAAGACATGATAAATAGGTAAAATTCTATTATATTTGAATTTTGCATTTGGATATTTTACTTTGATATTAAATATTCGTATTATTCAATAACCATTTGCCTTCTATTCAAGGAAATGCATTTCGAAAAAAGTTATTTTGATGCGTAACATTTTTTTCCTTTAAAAAAGCAAGTATTTTTTTTTCTTCAAATTTTAAATGTGTATGTTGATTCTGATATAATGTGCCAGAGCTATTGTTTTTTTTTTTTTGAAATGACTAGTTACTAATTTTTATATTTGGATTAGAAACACGTTATATTCTTGATATTATATTTATTATACCTATGCCATGTTGTGTAAATTCTGGTTAATTATTAAGAATGATCGATTATTGGTTTGATTAGTCAATATTAAATTGCTTATATTATATCAGGAAAGAGGTAGAGGATGAAAAAAAATGTAATTTTCTAATATATTGCTCACACCCACTATATGTATTACTAGGTTATTTTGGTATTTATTATGTACAAAAGCATGGTTATATATAATATATCATCAAACTTTATATAGGATTTTAGAAGATACTATATTTACAGAATTTAAATGATGCGCCAATTATAATTTTTCTTATATTATTAACATCATTTATTTACTATTTTTGGCATGGTTGAAAAGATCGTTTAGCATAAAGGCATGTTTTCCCCCAATTAATATTAAATTGTAATTTTTTTATGATACTTTTCCTTCCTGTTTTAAAATTAAAAAAATATTTTTTGATTTCCTACTAGTAGCAAATGGATTTGGCTAATTCAAAGTTTTTCCACTTAAAATATAGTTTTTTTAAATGTCGTAGCCTAGCCTTAAGGATGTATTTCACCACGTTTCACGGTAGTTATTGTGGTATAAAAGATTATCAAAGTAAATGTATAAAAAATTTTTTAACCTTAGAGCATGTCAAACTATAGCTAATGATTTGTATGTTAAAAAAAAATATTTACCGAACTCTACCAATAATATATCGCTTATTGTTTATATATGAAGACACAAATGACTATTAAAAAATCTATATTATTTTTTTAAAAAAAGAACTTATATTCCTCTATGTTTTTAATCCTACATTCATTACGCGCGCTCATCTATAATCCCTATAGTCTCTATTTTCATTTCCCCCCTTTTGTTTAAAGCTTTAAAAAAAATTCTGACCCATACCTGGATAAGTATGCTAAACTGAGACTATTTTTTCCCAAATAATTTTTTTTAAACATCTTATTTCTTCTCTCTTTCTAGGGATTTGGTTTTATAACTTTTAAAAATTCGGAAGATGCTGACAAAGCCAGAGAAAAACTCAATGGAACCATCGTGGAAAGCAGAAAGATCGAAGTTTATTTTTCAAATTTAATAAATAAATATCAATACTCGAAAGTTTAGTGCTGAGGTTGACTAATAGCTTTGATCTAGTCGACTTTTAGTGGCTTAGCTGAGTTTTTCCGCTCGCTCCTTGAGACTTAGTCGAAACTACTTTAGATACTCTCTTAAGTGCGCTCATACTTAAATTTTGCAGGAATCAAAAATAAACAATTATATTTTTATACCTATCATCTCTTCCCTAGGATGTCAATATTTACAAAAAAATAGGCTTATCAGAACCAAAAGAATAATAAAATTATAAAAATTTAAATTTTAAAAATACAATTACGGCTTTGGAGTTTGTGTTTCATTGTGCAACAACTTTGTGTACTTTATAATTTGATGTGATTACGTTATATTTTAGGTACAAACCAAAGTGTTGTTAAACGGTTCTTAGAAACAGCTAACCTAATTTTTAATCAAAAAATATTACGCGTGCTTGGAGATTTTGCTCATAGATGGTAGAAAGGTTTGGACATCTATTAACGAAATCTCGAGGCTCGCATAATATTGGGTTAGCCGTTTTCAAAAATCGCGCCGTTTAACGACACTAGGTGCAATGATGATTTTCTTAGACTCAATTTTACTTGTTTGGAATTTCTTATTCTTAATTTCTTAAGCTGAGTAATTAAACTAATTTATTTTTCAGTCAATAATTAATTTTTATTCTATTTTTTAAATTTATAATTTTCATAAGTTTACAATAAATTTCATAAGTGAATATATTTTTTAATTTAACAATAATATTTAAATATATCTATATTATTTTTTTGTTATTCTTTTAACATCCAATCAAAACTTATTGAAAATGTTGATTTACATATTAAAATTAAAAAATCTACATTAATACAACAGTCAAGATTCTCTGACATACCACCCTTTGTGGACCAGAAGGCCATAGCCAGATATTTCCAGCTGGGATCCAACTGTTTACTAAAGGGGACCAACATTTTTTCGAAATAAAACAAATAGTTAGGCACTCAGAAATTTTTTGCTAATTTTATTAAAAATTTGTAATAATGCGCAAACGTTTCAACGCAGATTTTCAGAACGCAAATAATGCATTTTAAATGCATCGTTTAAATTGGACAGCATTTTTTTGTTTTAAATTTAGACGTTTCATATTAATAAAATAAAAATTATTCAATTTAAATATAGTTGTGTTTACGTTTTTTTATTTGCGCTTTGAAACGCTGCATTGAAACGATCAATTTGTGCGCACTATAAAAGACGATTTTTAAATTTTAACATAAATGTATTAAAAGCTAAATTTTGTGTTATTTTTTTCCCATAAGCCATTAATACTAAATTTTGTTTATGTCGATCTTTCATCAATTCTCTATGCATACAATCCTTTAAATGCAAGATGTTATATTTTTTTATATTTACGATATTTTTAAAATTATATTTCTTTAACTTCTGCAGCTATTAATCCTTTTGTTATTTTCATTTCATGATCTAACGTTTCCATATATAAGTTCGATAATGATTCTAATGGTGCTATTTTATCTGATATAAAATATAGAAGATTTAAATCTATCTAAAAAACGATCTACAATGTAATCAAAAGTTTCATAATAACTCATTTTTAAAGAACGTCCTTTTCAAAATCAAATTTGGTATCGACTAAAAAAAAATTGAAGATTTATAGGCGTTTTACATACCCTTGATGAGTATTGAAGGATGATTAAATTTTGATATAAGTTTCTCAGCCTTAATTCTTATCAGATCAAAAGAATTATAACTTCTTTTATTTTTTAATATATTAATTGTGGAATCGATACAATTTTTAGCATCAACTATATTAGTACCTTCTGACTGTAGATGCCTATTTGATGATAGATGCCTATTTGATGAATTTATTGTTATTAATACCTCATAAATTAAAATGTCCAATATAATGTAATTTATATTAACGCATTGAGCTAAAAGACCAGAGGCTTCTATTTAATCATGAGTGGAAATCTCTGAGTTAAGAGTTCTATTAGAAAAGTTGAATAATACTTCATCAATAGCGTCAAAATTTTCATAAATGATGTGAGATGTTTCTAAATGACCTGTCCACCTCTGATCTATAAGTCTCATAAGAGTATGACCTGTATATTTACAGGATACATTAAAACGCTTTAAAAAATCATACAATGCATTAAATAAATTTTAAAAAATTAGAAATGATAACAATATTATTAGAGCAATTTTGAACCATAAGAAACTTGTATCGCTCCATTTGAGTCGATTTAAAAACGGCTAAATCAGTATTTTATCCATAAAAATATTATGCAAGCCTAAAGATTTTGCTTATAGATAGCAAGGTTTGAACATCTATTAGCGAAATCTCTAGGCTTAGACAATATTTTTCTGGCAAAAATATTGAAATAGCCGTTTCTAAAAATGGGCTCAAATGGTGCAATTTTGCATCATTAGTTGTAGCAATGTATATAAGGCACTTTTATTAATTTTTTTGAAGCAGGGTTTGTACTCCATTTCGGCCAGACATGACGTTTGCACCATAATATGCCTGGCTTATTATATTCAATGAATTAATATTTTGTTCATAAATATAATTAGTAATACGTTCAGCCGAAAGAAATTGTAGATTATTGATTCCTATTAAATTTTCTTGGATTTCTCAAAAAAATATAATGAATAATTATACTTGGGTTTTCACAACTTGATTACTAATTTGGATAAATTAAATAAATAATATTTTTCTAAAAATAATGGTAAATTAAAATTTAATAACTAAACTATTTTTTTTTAATTTGTGGACAAAATTTTTTTTTTGGGGGGGGGGGGGTGGGTCATGGCTATGACCCTGTAGAAGCATGCACAGATTAATATATTGTAAACAAACATATATTAAGGTTATAAAAAGGTTCAAAAAAATAGTTTTTAATTCAATTGATATCTTTTACCTTAGATGGATTGTAGTAATAGATCTTCTCAGAATACGTCTGTTCTAGTTAATATGGGAGTGATTGCCATCATCAGAGTGGTTGTCCCCTTTTCTTCTCGATCCGTCACTGAAGGTTTCGTCGGGCCGCTCTCTGGTATAAGATTGGGATGTAGAGGATCCTTGCATATTGCCCACAAATTCACTAGCTAAGTCTTTGTAGGTTGTTTGGTTGCATAATGCATAAACACTTTAGTATCGCCTTTGTTGCTGTTTTTTTATTGATTGAAAACGTAATTGGTCTAAATAATTACTCAGCTTAACAAATTAACGATAAGAAGTTCCAACTAAGTAAAATTGAGGCTAAGAAATTGATGTTAGTTTTCGTTATATTTTTTTTTCATTCTATTTTGAACCTGAAAATAAAAATCTATTTCCTATTATGTATGTACTCATGTTTCTAATTCAATGTACCCTTTGATATTTTTTTCTTGTTTTGTTGTCAATTGCTTAGCCTATTTAAAATATTACAAATTAAATTGTAATATTTCCACTTCCCATTTATTTTAAGATCCTATTTAATCACTCAGAAGAAAAATTAAATGCTCGGAATATTTTATTTAATGTTCAAGAAAAGAAAAAATAAATGCTAGGATATAAAACTAAAACACTCAGATTAAAAAATGAATTGCTCAGAAAAAAAATGAAAACTAGTCACTTAATTTTTAAGAAATATTTTTTCTTATTACTATTGATTTTAAGAATTTGTATATTATATAGCTTCCTCCACTAGAACGAATTCGTAATTTGAAAGTTTAAGATAATGATTTCGAATTCTTTTTAAAACATTTTAAACGGATTTCTATTAGTTCTGGAATTACCTTCGAGTAAAAATAAATACAATACCATCTAGTTGAATATTTTATGTCTTCATTCGAATATCCCTTCCCCATAAAATTTTTTACTTGTTAACTAAGGTTTGTTTTAAATACAGAATCTTTTGTTTTATAAATATGTTTATATATATATGAAAATCGGATTAAATTATTCGAAATAATATAACTCCTCTCAAAACGTTCTTTGAAATATATGAATTTTTTTACTAAAATAATTTACGATTCAGATTTATTTAAAGCTTATCAAATAAATATCCTTGTAAGTATTTTTAGAAAAAGATTTTAAGGTATTTTTAATTCTGAGTAATTAAGGGAAAAAAAATTCTGAGCTTCTCAGTTTTTATTCAGAGCTAAATAATATATCTGTAATAAAATAAATTTTTTTGATTGTTAATTTGTTTCTTTATTTAGATAAATTTAGCTAATATTATATCGGGAAAAATAACTTTTTATAATGGTTAAATTTAATATTCCTAATGACGATAATTATTAAATAAAAAGAATACCATGGGTGAACCATTATGGTAAATTTAACGACATACATTTTGAAGAGTTACATTTATTAAAATATTTGTCACTCATAAATTTAAAATAATAAGGTTTAAAATTGAAATTTCATATTAAAACGACAGGATATTTTTGAATAGTGGCAGTATATGTCGTAAGTAATAATATTTTTTTATTTGTTTTTTTGAAATTTTTTTTTATTGTGGAAAAAGATAAATGACATATTAATTATAATTATTCTTTTCAAATATTTTCCCATATAGGTCAACAACGCTACCGCCAAGGTTCAAACCAACAATAAAACCAAACCACTCATAATCCCTAATTGTAAGCTAAATATTAAAAAAGATATTTTCAACCTAAAATTAATAGAAGGATATGTTTTTAAATTGAAGATAATAATTTAATAGGTTCAGAAATCGAAACATTTAAATATTTTTCTAGTCTTAGAGCAAAACGTTTGGGTTTTATTCCACACCAATTTTATTTATATGTGTTTAAAGCAGGAGTTTGGAACAAAAGCATTTTTGCGTTTGTAATTTTCGTTCTTCCCGAAAAATTATTTACCCTGTTCCACATTCCGAAACGTCACGGAACGTGTTCCTAAAAATTATCTAATTATATTTCTATTTTATATAATAACTTGGCAACACAATTATCCATTGAAATTTAAACCTTTTATTTTATATAATATTAATTTTATAACAGTTAAAATTATTTTAAATTTGATTTAAAAAAAATGATTTTATACTCTTAAAATTACTTGATAATACTTAATAATGAGTAAATATTGTTATGTAAAGCAAACTGCATTTATAATTATTTAAAGTTAAATTAAAATTTGAACGTTCATGTCCAGAAACTTTCCGTGTCACCTTTTCCGTTCAGATAGCGTTCTATAATTTTCCCAAGTTCTGTTTTAAACCAACGTTGGCATAGATAAAACATAGTTATAATAAAATTACAAGTATTTTTTTCTCCGCAAAATGATAAATCTTATTTATCTTTACCCACATCTTTACCCACATTATTATTTTTAAATAATAGCTCTCGCTTTATTACGGGGCATCAACCTGATTGCCGGTAGCCCTTCCCTTCAACACCTAACTCCATCGTTGATCCAATCCCATCAGCACCCCACCATAATTTCAGCTCCTTATAATAATAACACCAACCAACACACCAAACTACTCATTCATCATCATAACCCAGTTCACCCTTCTCAGCAACACTTATTATTAGCGGCAGCTAATAATGGCTTTAACCACCATTCTATATTGCAAACATCGGGTGGAAAAAATTTGATGCTTCCATCGCAGACTGGCAATACTTTGCTATTGATAAACCACCCAACACCACAATTGCATAATCAGCATGCTATTCAAAATTCTCATATTATGATGTTAGGGGGAATAGGGGGACACAATAATATTAATTCTAACGTTAAACACTCCTTGTCTCATCTTAATTATCTGAACCCCGGGAATAACCCTATCCTATACGACAATAAGACACTGGTAGATGATAAACAATTATTGGCAGCCAACTCTAACCTCGCCGATTACATATTAAAGCCGGCTCATCAAGGCAATCTAATCAATAATATAAACAACATAGGTAGTCGGGGTATCATAGACCCCTCCAAATTTATTTTTCTGGATCCAACATACTCCATGAAAAGGCAGTCCTTGGACGAAAACGGTAATACCATTAAAATAGCATAATAAAATGAACGTAAAAAAAAGTTAAATTTATATTTATTACTTGGTCAATTTATAACGCAGTAAAAAATGGATAAGAAGTTTTTAATACATATTATTATGCCTAATTAATATTTCCATTGATCAACTTTTCAGAAAATAATAGCCATTGGCCATTCATAGCAGGATGGTATATTGTTAAAGTAACTAGTGTTTATTTTTATCTATCTATTTGCAGAAAATGTTTCTAAATATTTAAAAATATATCGAGATACTGATTGATTTTAATATACTTTTTCGGCCAATAACTTGTAATAATAAGGTAAAACCATTGTGTGACAATCAGAGACTTTCAAAAGATGGTCCGTGGTCCTGTGCCTAATATCATATTTTCTCAAAGGCCTGGGTTTTTTAAATGATTTGGGCCTAAGAAAAAAAATACTGCAATTTTTTTCTTCTAATATTGATAAATTTTATTATTGTAAACAATGATTACCTAAATACACTTAAATATCGTTTATTTATATTAATTCAGTAATTGAATTTTTGAATATGGGCGTAGGCCATGGGAAAAATTTGAAACTTATAATGGGCTTGGGAATTTTTTTAATATTAAATATGGACCTGAACCTTTTACTGCAGCTTTGGACCGAGTTTGATCAAAAAATTAAGGCTCATAAAGGTTTCTGGTGACAATGCATTATTTGAAATTTATTGCTACATTTCAAATTAAAGAAACAAACTGCTGGCTTGTTAAAAACTATTTATTAAATCAGATTTTTGTCTAATGCTCTGAAAATTATTGCTATACTTTATTAATATAACATAACAACTTTATATTAAGAACAATGGTAAAATCATATTCATTAAAAGATTATTTAAATTTTATTGCATATTATCTTTATTCTAATATTAAACTTTTAACTTTTTTCTCTGAGTTCTAGTTTTATCATTTATTAACTTCAAAAGATTAACTACTAATCTTTGTATTAATTCCTTTAACTTTAAATTTTCTGGCATCTTAACCATAACTTACAAGTTAATATGATCAATTATTGCAATAATATCATCATTTCCGTGTGTTTTCCCTCTCAATAATTTCCGACATTCTAGGTACCTATACAGGTACTTTTTCAAAGATAAATATGATAAATTTTGAAATGTTTCTAGATACGATATATTATAACTGCTTATTTGCAAAGGAGGTTATTAATTAAAATAAGCAGGTATAAATGTTATGTACTTAATTAATTTTTTCTCATATTTTTATTTTATATACTATTCACTTGAAATCTAGCCCACAAAGCCGCCTTTCAAGGTTCTATCTTGAACGATCTCTCGCTGATAACCAACGAAAACGCCAGTAACCTCAATAATGTGAAAATCTACTTGGATCACAATGGTACCCCCTTTATACTAGCCCCTTCTTCTAATCAAGCCAATTTGGAAAGTATGTTACTTACCAACCTCAACAACAATCATATGAATAACTTGGCCATAAATTCCTCTCAATTAAACCCGTTAAATACCTTGAATAGCTTGAATAATATAAACAATATGAACCATCTTGCTCCTTTACAGGCACACCTTCCCTTGAATGCTTTACAGGCCTTACCAAGCTTGGACTCTCCAGCTTCTGCTACCCCTTCCAAGAAGAGGAATTTTAGGTTTATATGTTAATTTTTTTAATAAAATTAGTTTTCAAATGTAGAATTATTGTTTATATAATTAATTTATAAGGGGATACCTTATTTTCTATATCACTCATAAAATTGAATATATCGTCATTTAAAACTCAAATTTTATTTTATAAAGCGGTGGTGTTACCGATAATCCTCTCTCATCTTCCAACCCTACCCCGGCTCATCATCACAAACACCTCAAAACTCAACAAAATAACGCGCCTCTGCCCGTTCGCTATATCCAGTCTCACAATTTATCCTCCCAATACGGCGTTTTACCCCCCATTGCCACCGGCGGCCAAATGATGTATTACATGATCGACCCAGGCACTAATAGGCTTATCCCTAACCCTGGTTCTGTCTCTCTGCCACCTAATATTTCATCATCATCTCTAGTTTCTCCTCAAAATCACACCCCTATATCATCGACGCCCTCCTCTACCTTAAATCACAACTTGTTGCCAGGGAATAATCAGCACCTTAGTAATAGTTTGTACCTATATAATCATAATCCTGCCGTCATATAATGGTGGTAACACTAATAATTTAGTGATGAGCACAAGTTTTGAAAGTCGGCCAAATGACGTTTGCAGCCAAGGCATCAAATTCTTGCTTAACCCCGGCGAAAATGGTACTACGAGTATTGATGATAGCGGTGAGTTTGTAATAAAATACACGCGATTATAATATTTTTATTTAATCCCAATAATTGCTGTTTTTAAGCTACTTAGCCTCCTTTGCTATTATTGGTGTTTTATAGAGTTAATTATGGGTCATTCCACGTCAAATCGACCAAAAAAACGCGATTTTCGGACGACCATCTTTAAAATAAACGAAACTTGGCATGATAGTTATTTATTTTGTATATTTTTGTAAATTTCTAAATTTTAGAGTGCTAGCTCAACCAAATCTAAAGATATACGCCTTCAAAGTAGAGAATCGCATAATGCGTGATTTCTTAAATCTTGTTTTTCTTAAAAAATACTTAAGATAAAATTACAAATAATATATCATTTTATAGCCCTTAAAATTTTACATTGGAAAATATTTAAAAAAAATCAAAAAATTTTAAGTGTTTTTGTATTTCCGGTAAAAATAAAAAAATAACATTCCTGGGAAGGGATATTTTTTTGGTGTTGATACTCTCTAAAAATGTTTATAACCTTTATATTAAACTATTTAATGAAAAATCTCGATAGCCATTTTTTTTTAAATTTTATTAAAATTTTTATTATTTTTATAAATAAAAAAGGATAATATAGATGGTGTTATATTAATTTTAATAATAATATAAGGAATGACGTAACATAGGTGGAATTTTTTCTAAAAAAAAGATTAAAAATTCTTGAAAAGATTTTTTTATTGTTTCCAGATTACTTCTATCAACAGACACCCACTGTTTAAAGGATATATGATCTATGTCATTTTGGGCAAATACAACATCTAATTGTTTTTTAATTGAGAATGTGCCTGGACAATAGTTACAATCTCCTAAATAACAAATAGGGAGTGCTGGATTGCATATTGTTTGAGCTAAAATATTTTTATAGTTATGTAATGGATATTCTGGCATAGCTAATAGTTTTGCCAAATTAGCATCTACAAACATAAGCTTAAAATTTTGATGAATTACACAAACACACACACTGTGTGTTCCACTGGCTCCAGCCAGAATACAATTTTTTGGCCGTAAATCTGCAAATTTAGAAAATTCAACTTTAATTATCGGGTACCTCTCTTTAAATCGTTCATATAATTCTTTTAAATTGTTTAAAATTAATCTTTTTGAGACTGCTCTCTTTTCCCCTTGATCATTATGGATTTATATTCTTTTTTCCCGGGCATCGCGCGACTGATTTCATCAGAAGAGTAAAATTTTTCTATAATATTCACGGTTTTCTGATCAATTGTTTGCCCAGGTTTTATATTGGGAGATGACATAAATCCTTTTAATTCTATTAGTTTTTTTAATTTTCTTACCAAGTAATTCGTGGCTTTGAACTCCATCTCAATTTTTTTAGAAGTCCAAGAAGGGGGCAATATTTAAGGAGTTGATATTTTTTTTCCTTAGAAATAATTGGATAATGATGTTTTAAATTTTGAAGAAGTTCGTCATTTTTATTATTTTGTATATCAAACTCAGGAAGGCTGCTTCTTAATATGTTTTGACTTAATGCTTTTGTTATTTTTTTAAGTTTTTCTTGCGGATATTTCTTTTCTCCTTATCTTTTCTTTTTTATTGGGGATTGGCCTATTTCTTCTAGCGATACATTTATTATATCCAAAGTTGAAGTGGATGGGGCTAGTTCGGGCTCTTCATTTTCAGATATATCCTCAATGGATTCCATATTTATCAAATATAAGCGACATGAGTGACATAATGATTGGCCTATTGTTAATAAACCTTTGGATTTTTTAATCATCTTTGGTGTAATTTAATTTTATATATAATAAAAATAATCACGATATCCAATAATAAAAAAGATATTATATTAGTAAAAAATCCAGAATCCCATAATATAAATAAACTTGCCTTTTGTAGATTTTTTGAAATAGACTTATGGCCTTCTCTAATGAATGGATTACTACACAGTGATTTCATTATTACAATTTTTTAAATTTAAAAAAAAATTTTAAGTAAAAAAAGAAATATTTTTTAATCCTTATGTTCTTTTCAATCATGATTGATAATTAAAAATTTAATAGAAAGAAAGGAATGAAAAATAAAATTAGATGATAAAATCTTTAATTTTAAATAATAACGATAGTAGATCCAGAAGTGTGAAATATATACAAATTACGGCCTCAAGAATTTTTATTTAAGCGCAAAATGGATTGCGATAAATAGATATATTTTTATAATAGCTTGAATATAATTTTAAAGTATCTTTATATGGGCCGCTTCCTCATTTATTGCCCCAGGACATCATACTGGTTATACTTAATCGATTTCTTTTGATTTTAATACCGCTATAAAATATATTATTATTAAATATAATATATTATTAATAAATTTAGTATAACGCCATCTATATTATCCTTTTTTATTTACAAAAATAATAAAAATTTTAATAAAATTAAAAAAACAAAAATGGCTATCGAGATTTTTCATTAAATAGTTTAATATAAAGGTAATAAACATTTTTAGAGAGTATCAACACCAAAAAAAAATCCCTTCCCAGGAATGTTAATTTTTTATTTTTACCGGAAATACAAAAACACTTAAAATTTTTTAACTTTTTTTCAATATTTTCCAATGTAAAATTTTAAGGGCTATAAAGTGATATATTATTTGTACTTCTATCTTAAGTATTTTTTAAGAAAAACAAGATATAAGAAATCACGCATTACGCGATTCTCTACTTTGAAAGCGTATATCTTTGGATCTGGTTGAGCTGGGGCTCTAAAATTTGGATTTTATTATCATTTACAACATAAATAACTAACATGCCAAGTTTCATTCATTTTTGAGATGGTCGGCCGAATCACTGGTCGATTTGTCATGGAATTACCCTATCATTTACAACATAAATAACTAACATGCCAAGTTTCATTCATTTTTGAGATGGTCGGCCGAATCACTGGTCGATTTGTCATGGAATTACCCTTATAGTTACCCTACATTTTCGATTTAAAATGTATAAGTATTAGTTAAAATAAAATTGCATCTTATATATAAAATTGCCTTTTTTTTGATAGACAGACATTTTTTTATTAAAGTACATTCAATATAATGAGGCGAGAGCATTTTTCAAGATAAATTTTATTTATTTTTTAAAGGAACGTTTGCATAATATAATATATATTATAACTATGATTATATATTATAAATTACCTATGCATATTTTCAATTAAAATCTATCATATTCATTTTTTTTTAAATGTCACCCTATTTTATATAAACGGATGGTAGGAAACATTTTGCTTTCCACCCTCATTCAGCAGCAGCAGATGCAACAGCAATTACTTACCAATCATATATTAGCCAACAATAGAAACAATCCAGTGATCAGCCAAAATCAAGCGAATAACATTCTGTCCTCATCTTTGAATCAAGCCCTTATTCAGCCTTCTAATCTAGATCTACTGAGGTTTGTTAATATATAGTAGTGATCTGCATCAGGCCTAATTTTTCAAACCCCCGAATTTTTTTAAAAATATTACGCCTGAACTAGCTCAAATTAATTTTTTTTAAAATAAGCCCAAAGCCCATTTAGACCAGGCCTATTTTTGTGGATCTCGAATATATAAAACTTTTCCCTTGAATTTTCCTAAAAAAACAATTTTCTCACTTTACTAGGTAGCCCCTGTCCAAGCTCCTTCAACTTTGAAACGCGAACTAGTTCTTATTTAATATAATTAATTTTTTTTAAATATTGTTCGACTAAATTATATAGATATAATATTTATTACAATAGAACTATTATATCGACCCATTTTTAAAATGAAATAGTCAGGACTAACCTAATATTTTTAAATAACATTTTGGTATCGGAGATCTCCTGGTTATTATTACAATACATTTTTATAAAAATTTGATTTGTGCTGAGCTTTGTCACATTAATCAATGTAAGTGTAATATCGACTGGCTATTATTTCAAAACATCGCTAAATTATTAGCTGGTTACATTTCTTTATCGCTGGGGTGGCCTAATGGGTTATGATGTAGGCTTGGAAACAGAAGGTCTCAGGTTCGATCCTGGTAAGGAACGTAAAAATATTTTGGGTTTTTCTTCGATGAATGATGTGTAAAGACATATGGCGAGATGAATTTCGGAGCTTAGAGATGACACCCCGGTCACCGACAGGCTTGGACAGCCGGGTGCTAAGGATACTTGTCCAATAAACAAAAATGAAGGAAACAAATGAAAATACGAATATGAAAGCTAGGACGTTCCCTCCAAGCGACGCGCAGGGTGTAGACCTCCATCCTGCGAAAAGTAAAATAAAGGTCAAAGCAAAGGAGACAAGGTTAGCAAGTTTGAATATTGGTACACTTAAAGGTAAGACGAGAGAATTGGCATCAGTGTTGAACAAGAGAAAAGTTGACATATCGTGCATATAAGAGACAATGTGGAAAAGTCAGAAAACTTTAGTGATTGGAGATGGGTATAAATTGTACTATAATGGAATTGTTAGCAATAAGAACGGTGTCGGCATCATCCTCAGTCAAGATCTAACTTCCTCAGTGGTAGAAGTCAACAGGATCTTTGATAGACTAATGAAAATAGAACTCTGCATTGGCCAATCAATACTACACATCCTTTTAGTATATGCTCCTCAAACGGGTAAGGAAGAGGAGAAAGGTGACTTTAGAGCTATCCTTGATGAAGCTGTAATGGAAATCCCCAAGGATGACCTAGTAATAATATGTGGAGACTTAAATGCGCATGTGGGAAAAGCAAGAGACAGCTACAAAAGGCATCATGGTGGTTTTGGATATGGAGAAAGAAATGATGAAGGAGAGCATGTACGAAATTTGCGCAAGCCTTCGTCCTTGCCTTAACCAACGCCTACTATAAGAAAAAGGACAACCATTTAATAACATATGTGGTGCAAGGAAAATCCAGATAGATTACATGCTTATTTCACGCAGAAGATTAAAAGATGTAATAGACTGCAAAGTCATCCCAGGAGAAGATATTGCCGCGCAACACAAGCTACTAGTCATGGATTTACACATCACAAATAAATCCACTCAAAACAAAATAAAACTTGAACCATGCATTAAATGGGGTAGATTAAAATCAATGACAGATGCCTTTGCAATCAATGCAAACATTGAAACAATAGATTCCTCACAAGTCAGTGAAAAAATGTGGACAGACCTTTCATCCAGATTAATAGACACTGCCAAATCGACACTGGGCTTGACAAGGGGAAGCAACAAATCATACAAAGAACTATGGTGGTGGAATGAAGAGGTACAAACCACTATAAAGGAGAAAAAAGCCCTATATAAAATATGGTACAAATCCAAAAACCCAGATGACAAGAAAAATTACAAAAAATCCAAGAGAATAGCTACAAAAACGGTGGCTAGGGCCAAAGCTATGACATACGATGACATGTATGAAGAACTATATACCAAAGAAGGGCAAAATAAAATGTACAGATTAGCCAAACAGCGAGAAAAGAATTCTAGGGATATAAACGGAGCTCCGAAAGTAATCAAAAATAAAGATGGGAAATTGATAATAAGAAAAAAGAAATAATGAATAGATGGAAATAATATTTTCAGAAGCTTCTCAACTTTAATCCCCACATACTACATCTAGACGAACACTCCCCATGTCAAAACCTTATACAACCAATAACAGAACAAGAAATATCAACCATATGAAAAACAACAAAGCTAGGGGTCCAGTTGATATTCCAATAGAAAGCCTTAAAGCACTAGGAGATGATGGAATGCATCTCCTCATCTGTACAATAAAATACTGGGAAATGAAGAGATCCCTCAAAAATGGGAAAAGAGCTATCTAGTTCCTATCTTCAAAAATAAAGGATCCACACAATTGTCAAAATTACAGGTGCATAAAACTAATGTCACACTGTCTTAAACTCTACGAAATAATAATAGAAAAAAGGTTAAGAGACATAATCGAAATAGGAAAGACTCAGATTGGTTTTATTCCTGGAAGATCAACAACTGATGCTATCCGCGCAATAGGCAAATGAGTGAAAAATACAGGGAAAAGAACAAAAAGCTACACATGGTCTTTCTCGATCTAGAATAGGCCTTCGATAGAATCCCAAGAAAACTTATCTGGTGGTCGCTACGCCACAAAAAGGTTCCCGAAAAATATATAAGAATAATACAGGATATGTATAGGGGCCATACAACAATGGTCCGTAGCACAACTGGTACTTCAACAGGCTTCACAATAGCCGAGGGAGTTCATCAAGGGTCGGCTCTCAGCCCACTTATCTTTATAACAGTAATAGATATATTAGCACAGTCTATACCACAAACAGTCCCGTGGAATATGATATTTTAGGATGAAATGAAAGAAAGATTAGTGAGCTGGATAAATATCCTAGAAAAGTACAGACTAAAAGTTAATAGAATGGAGTATATGGTGATAGGAGGAGATGAAACAGAGAGCATTGATATAAATGAATGGCAGATATCGGCAATTGAAAGCTGCAAATATTTGGGCAACACTATAACAAACAGCACAATAGAGAAAGAGATAAAGAATAAAATTAATCAAGGGTGGTTAAAGTGGAGATCTTTATCTGGAGTGCTCTTTGACAAAAGAATCCCACACAAATTGTAGGGAAAAATTCACAGTTCCATAGTACAACCAACTATTCTATATAGTTCGGAAACATGGCCAACCAAAGAATCAGACGAGAGAAGTCTACAAACTATGGAGATGAGAATGCTGAGGATGATTGCTGGAGTAACAAGAAAGGATAAGGTGCGAAGTACAAAAATACTAGGAAGTTTAAAGGTAATCTTAAGACTAAGATAATGGTAAACAGACTTAGATGGTATGGGCATACAATGAGAAGGCCTCTGAACTACATAGGAAATAAGGTTGAGAGTTTGGAAGTGATGGATAAACGTAAAAGAGGAAGGCCAAAACTTCAATGGTGCCATAAAGTTAGAGCCAATATGAAGAAGTATAAATTAGATAAAAGAGATAGTATGAATAACATAAAGTGGAGAGAGATATTGAAGGAGCTTACCACCAGAAAAGGTGAAAGCTAAAGAGGAAAAAAAAATAATTTTTCTTTTAAGTAAGATTTATAAGGTTTCATTCTAAAAATGCTTTATGGCCTGTTGATCAACCAATTGGTAACCCAAGAACAAAAATTTTATTTTTAATCATGCGAGTATAAATATTAATAACAGGTGAAATAAAATGTGTAGTTGTATATGTAAAGATAAGTTATAAATTTTTAATACAAATTTTACTTAAATAAACCTGATAATATGACATAATCTAAATAGCATAAATTGAATTGTAAAACATTATTAATATTAAAAAATAGAATATTATTCACTTTAATTTTTTATAAAAATACGAACCGTATACACCCTACTTGACCGATTACCGAGATTGAAGACACAGAAAACCCATTAAAATACCGGTTCGATCTTTGTTTTTTCCAGGCTTTTGATCTTCCTGATTCGACAGAAAGCCTCCTTAAACCTTGGAAACATTTCCTTCATCAAAAAATAAGATTATCAACATTTTTGATAAATTTTTTGCTTAAAAATATTTTTATAAAATTAAATATTCTATTATTCAGTGTTGGACTGTTTAGTTAATGCAAAACTTATACGAAGTGATCGCCACGGTGGTCATAATATAGATGATTGTATTATTATGATGTAATAAAAATAGTTTTTTTTTGTTTTATTAAAAAAAAAGATATCGATATTTATCTCTCTATATTATTATAAAATATAAATATCGCACTACTTTTTAAATATCTTTACCAAAGTTTGGAGTCAGAACCTTAAACTCTCTTCTAAAATTTGTAAGGAACCGATTCTAACAAAAATGCAAATAATTTATATATTTTATTTAAAATGTTTTCTAAGGGGTATATATATTGTTAAAAAAAATTTATGTTGGATTACAGAGAAACCGGAACCTTCAAAACCTCGTCAAATTTAGGAAGTGGAACCACTTTTTTTAAAAATATTTAGAATCAGAACCCTTTTCAACAACAATGCATAATCTCAAATTTTATAAGATTATAAATTTATTCTAATACTTATGCTGTATTTTTTTTTATATATCTAAGAACGTCTTCTTATCAAGACACTCTCCAAAACTACATAAACGGAAATCAGGTAATAAAAAAAAGAAATAATTTTATCTTAGAAAAATTATACAGATTTGTTTGGGAGATATTTTTTTGTTCCTTAAGAATCGCCATAATTGAATTACTAAATTGTCATTATATAGGATATTCAGTGTAGGGCAGGTCCACCGAAAAAAAGAATCTAGATACTGATACAGATTCTTTGTGAAAAAATGAATCTTAGATACAGATACTAGTATTTTTTCAAAATATCAAAAAGATAAAAGATATTTGTATCTTTTGCCTAATTAGAGTTCTTAAATACAAGATACTTTTAAATTATTATTACTAATTAAATTCGAATAGTTTATAAAATACAGTTTTTATTATTTATTTGTGAAGAACATAACATACGCATATAATAAGAATGAATATTTACAATAATTAATATGAGTTAATTATAATAATCATACATTTTAATATTAGTAATAGCCCATTCTTAGCATAGATAGGGAAGGGAGACTAGTATAATGGGAGTTGAAATATTAATTTGCAAAAGAGTATTTAAAATAGATTCATTATTTTATAAGATAATCAAATTTTTCAAATAATTTATCGTTACTCCTTTGCCGTTTTGGCGTACTTAATATTGTGCCAAAACTAAATATTCAATTGGAGCTGATATAGGTATTGCATTATTATATTATAAAAAATTTCCTTAATTGAAGGATAATAATTAGGCATTTATAATGTATTTCGTCCTTTAATATAATTAAAACCTCCAGTTCAATGTTATTTGTATTAAGAACTCAGCGACATTTGTTTCACCAAAAGAAAAATAATCATCATTTTCTTTATTAAATGTTAAATCTATTGGTGTTATAGTTTGAGCTTGATAATATACCTGTTACTATATTTAGGGCTTCTTTTATTAATTTATTTTGAAAGTATTTTTTTTATCATTTGACTCAATCCATAAGTTATTAAAATATGGACGTGATATTGATGTCAAAAAAGTCTCATTATATTTAAATCATAGGAAAATATATTCTTAAAATTTTTTGCCCATACTATCTTGGGCAGCTTTTAATAAAGGAAGACAATATTGTAAACTTGAATTTTTAAGATAACCTATGCCCCTCTTAACCACACATAATTAATATACATTAATATGTTAAACAAAATTTGTGTTTAAACCTTTATCATTTTTTGTATATAAAGGATTTACATCTAGCCTGTTCATTGTCTTTTTTAACTTTTATTTTAAAAAAATTTCCATATAAAATTTTAAGATTGGGATTTGATTCACGGGAACTTATTTCCATAATTTAAATTTCACTACCATATGTGTTAATCATCCTACAAATTAAAAAATATTGCATAAAATTGGTAATGATATTCTATCGAGTAACATTTATATATAAAATATAATCTTAACTTATTTCGTTTTGGTGTTGTTATTTTTTATATATCTACCATATGAGTTATAAATTTTCCAGCTAATTTTGATTATCATCATATTTAAAAGGGAAATTAATACAAGATTCTCGAGGAAAATAAAATATAAACTGTGATATGTAAAATTTTAAACATCAATATTAAAAAGAATCTGTATCTTTTGTCAAGAAAATGAAAAAGATACAAGATTCTTTTCAGAAAGGATCTTAGATACAGATACTAGTATCTTATTAAAAATGTAAATAAGATACTGAGTACAAGTTACAAAAGGATCTTGTATCTTAGATACAAGTATTCACGATACTGCCCAACTCTGAGGATATTTAACATTTGTAATAATAATAAGAATTATAAATGCACTTGAAGATAAATAAATCTACCTAATTTGTTTAGGTTGTAGCTAATCAATACAACTTACCTACCAGTCAGTCATCGAATTTGGCTTACGCTATTGGGTAAATAAATATATCATGGTGATTTACAATTATATGTTTTTTCCTTGAAATTGATAAAATCTAAGAGGTTATATAAAATTCTTTGTAGAATTATTTTTTAATAGAAAGTGTAAATGAAAATCATATTTATAAAAGATTGATATTGAAATTAAACTAATGACACATGATTTTTAAATTTTTTTTAGCTTCGATCCATATTTAGGTACACAAACGATTGGTCCTATACCTGGATATACGGTTACTTTCTAACAATTCATATATTTTGTTAATAAAATTTTTGTTGAATATTTTCATTTATAGGGGCGAAATAGCCATTGCATGGCCATTTCCCACCGGAAAATGGAAAGTAATTTAAGGCATTTGTAAATCAGAGCCTGTTTGGTACTAAAAATATTTGCTGACGATATGAAACTTAAACTATTTTATCTGCATTTTTAGTTCAAAATTATATTTTATGAGAATAAATACTGTTTTGTTCCATGCATAGTTCAAAAATAGCTTTGGCATTAATTCATGAACAAATCTTCTTATTTAGCCAGAACTATTTTTTGTTAAGGGCGTTATTTATAGTAATGGATTATAAATATATACTTTTTTAGAAATTTACATTAATAGGAAAGGGGTTGGACGGGAGAGAGTCTTAGCAAGTTGTGAATATCTTTTAAGCCAATATAAATTATCCCCCCTACACATTTCACTCCTCCCTCTCTCAAAAATTAATAAAATATGTAATTTAAAACAAATGTAGGTTACTAATTCTTTTTAATTACTAAAAACATATCAAAATTTTTTTTAAAAAAACCCAAAACCTTGTATGATATTTTTAAGGGAAAGCTACCTAAAGGTGTTCTCTGAGAAAAATATTATATACCCTATGTCTATGGTAACCTAAGTCCCCAGTTCGGCACAGCTTGCGTTTAGGGTGATTGCATATGAAATCAACCAGTGTTTTCAATTTTTGAAATGAATGAAAGTTATGATAATGTATAAATTTTGTAAGAATTTAAATTTTTTGACTATATTGGGTAATGAATCTACAGACGCCTGCCGAAAAAAATTCGCTAAGTATTGAGTGGCGAGGTGATTTATTTCTACTTTTTAAAAGTTGAGTTATATTTTTAAAAACTCGAGAATGAGGTGATAGTTTTCAGCGCGTTTTTTTAACCGGCTAAAAATAGAACAGTTAACCAACTATAATTCTAACTTTAATACATCCCCAGATATGGGTCTTCAAAGTTTAATTCGATAACCATCTTAGCTTAATTGATCTCCAATTAAGCGAAAAATAATGCTAAAGGCGATAATATATTATTTAAAGCCTTTAGAATTCTCCTTGAGAAAATATCGGGAAAAATATCCATGATTTTCAGTGTCATGGTATTTTTGGTAAAACTCAGTTTTGAAAAATTTGTCGTTTGAGACTATGAAACTCACTTGTCAAGTTTATTACCATCTTTTTGAAGAAAATATTAGGGTTGTCATGATTAAATCACATTGATTTGAATCGCGAATAAAATCAATGATTATTTATGAATAAAAATTATGATTTAGATCGATTTTCTGTATTTTAAATAATTATTCATGTTTTTTTCAAATAAAAACATTTTATTTATCCATATTTTGATAAAATTTTTAATTAAATGTTAAATTTTATTATGAATGTTTTATATTGTGTTAACTTTGAAATTTTTAATATATATACTCATATGGGTATTTCAGTTTAGATTTACTGAGATATAAAAGCCTTGTTTAATAATTATTGTTAATATATTATTGATACCAAATTTAGTGATCTGCATCGGGCCTAATTTTTCAAGCCCGGTATGGCCTGAAATTTTTTTTAAAAAAGTTTTGCCGGCCCGGCTAGAACCCGAAATTTTTTTAAAAAGATTTGCCGGCCTGGCCCTACCCAAATTTATTTAAATATAGAAATTAATTTTTATAATTACTCAAAATAAAAGAGATATGTTATATGGCGTTTAGTTTCAATAAATAAAATCAAAAATTTTTATTTTACATAAAAAATTCAATATAAAATTGATAAGATATATTTTAAAAAATTCCAAAGTCCGACCCGACCCGGCCCAAATTTTTTTAAATTATTCGGCCCGAACTCGATTATTTTAAATAGAATTAGGCCAGAAACCCGTTCGGGCCGGGTATGGGCCGGGCCTAACTTTGCAGATCTCTACCAAGATTTATTCACATACATTTTATACATATTACATTTAAATAAAAATTAATTTTATTTTATTCTAAAATTTGATAAATCAATACATCCATATAAAAAATCATAAAATAAAATATGAATTATAGAGAACAATATCTTTGCAATGTAAATAGACAAGTTGGAATTTAAATGGCATTAGATTTAAAATTTATTTATTTATTTTGTGTATGAAATACAACTAAAATGTTATTTTTGATGAAAATAGACATTTTATATATAATGTAAAAACATTTTTATATATAACGTAAAACTTGTAAAATGTACTTATAAGTTATAATCTTACCATATTCTATTATCTAAAATAATTATTTTTAAAGATATTACACGTATAAAAATAATATGAAGGTTTTTTTATAGCTATAGTTCTCTATAATCAATATATTTATTCCCAAAGAAAATTAATATAATTTTTCATCTCAATTTTTATAAAATATATTAAATGGTTATAATTTTCTTATTTTTATCCAAAAATAACAATCATAATGATTTTTCTCTTTTTCTTGACGATTAAATATTTTTTGTGTGAAATTTGAATATTAATTATCTTGTTGTGCGTAGTTTTATTCTTTGGTAAATTGTGACATTTTAACAATAAAGTGAATTACTAAAATTACCCAGGAGGATGACTAAGATGAAAACCGGTCCCAACGTCAACCTACCTGAAAATCCCGGTCCCTCGAATTCTGCCGATCCCTCTCCCTATCCCTCGGTAGAACAGCCCACGGTCGTGGCCCCAAACTTTTCTTTAATTTACGGTTGTCTACATTATTGAGACTATGAAAATCAGCATTAAACTAATTTTTATTAGATTATTAAATTGGATATTATATTATATCGAATATATTACACAGATGGTATATAATTTGTTACTCTAGCATACATATATATATTTAGTAATTTGAGATTAGTTATGCCTAGATGATGCTGGAATTAAACCTGAAAGGATCATTTCTCCCCATCTATTTGAGCTAACCTCTAATTTATACAAAATTTACACAACTATTTTATCAACTTTCATTTATTTTTAAAACATTGTCTAAAATGAGTTTTTATCTTCCCCTTCCTATTTTACCTTTACTTTATTTTTTACTTACAGGCTTTATACAAGGGTGGCTATCACAGATTTACTCCGTATTGATTAACAATCATACAAAAATTTTATGTTTTCAAAGATTGAGAAACCAAAAATTCAGATGTGAATACAATCAATTAGCAATTAATTACCACAATATTATTTATATTATTTTAATAATAAGCATAATTGTTTTATTTTTTGAATGATCATATAATTTAAAACCTCACATTTAGTCCTACTGAAACAAAGTTATATATTATAAAATGCTATAATTTATTAATAATCTTTTGAAAAAATTATACCATTTTTTAATGTGAAATTTATATTTTTAATCTCTAGTAAGTTTTAATGCTCCTTTGAGATCTTAGAAATTACAAAAACATGTTTATATTTATAACCAGAGACCTGCAGAGGTAGAAATTTTAGGTCAATCCTGGATTAAGTCTGAATCTCCCTGAATTTAATTTTCTCTCTCTTAAAGCAGATCTCGGATTTTTTGGCCCGGCCCTGACTTTAAATTTTTGTACCCAGCCCGAATTTCCAATTTTATGTTCGGATCGACTCAGATTTTTAAATTTATCTTATTTTTATGCTTATTTCATGTCAGATGCCTTTCAGGTTTCTGATTTTAACCAAAAAATATTGTGACAATTATTATAATATTATATACCTTTTTAACTAATTTTTATTATTAAAATTATAAAAAAATATATTTTAATTATTTTTCTCTGATGTTAATATTTTTTTTATCCTTTAATCATTCATCATGCAAAAATATAAGTGTGTAATATTTCCTTAAACCATCAATTATTTTTTAAGATGTGCAATATTTCTCACATATTATGGTATTTTTTTAAAATCAAATCATATATATTTATCTCGTATATCATATATTTTTTATATACAATATAACACTGTTTGTTTAAATTCATTTATTGTATTATTATTTTTTAAATGACCATGATTTTTAAAAATTTTTATATAGAACTCCAAAATCATTTCTCTACCAAAATTTAGAATTTTAGCTCTAATATAAAAGTTATTTTTAGGTCATGAATTCAATTAGAAAGCCCAACATTTCCAATGAATGCATTCAAATTGTTTGGCATGAATATGAGTTTGCTGAGAATGGCTAGCCCTTTTAAATTATATTTAAAATAGCAGAATTATTTGGAAAATAAATAATGTCTATGATTTTATGCAATATATAGATCTGGTCGATGATTAGCAATATCATTGTATTATAATAGGTCTATAATAAAAGTATTAATTTTTACAGCAATATATTTTGTCCTATTTCATCTAAAAATTTAATAGATAACCCCCCAATAAATTTATCCTACCCACCTTAAAGGCGCCTACAGCCTTTAAAAAAATTAGATGCAATTTCCTACCTCCCGCTGTCATTATTTGAAAAAATTTTATTCTTTTTCTTGGGAGAAATCGAAATCTAGGAACTCTAACAAATTTAAAAATTTTCAGGAACTGATTCCCAAACACGCCTAATATAGGTGGAGGTAATTTGCATATTATATTTAGTCGCTCATTTTAATGATCAAACATGTTACCAAAATAGTCTGAGAAAGGAGAACTAAGCAGGAGCGTCGATAGTTAATGCGAATAGGTGCTAATTTATTTTAAAAAAGTTTAATTTTTCTAACTATATATAACATATGTGATCTTTCATCCCATACCCCCCACCCTTTTGGTGGTTCTTCATTTCGTTTTTGACCGGCCTTCGGCCGTTCATGTCCATAGATTTATATTTTCTACTATATTATAATATGTATATATTCGAAACAAAAGTATATCTAAAATGCCAGCTTCAATGCTTTACCTTCATAACCAATCCTAATTTAAAAGCTCTTAGATTTATCAAAAATTTTAGGAATTTTTTTTATCTATTACTTTGATTTTGCATTTTCTCGGAATTAAAATGGAACTTATTACAAAATCAACATTAAATTAATTGGAAAATTTGCACAACTTTTTGATTACTCAAATATTAGAGTAAAAATGGATATATATATTTAATTTAAACAATTTTTACGTTTCCTTTGTTTAGATTTTATTTTGCTATATAGGATCATCTATAATATTATTTTATAATATAATATATTTTGATTTTTCACCATTTTGTTTTGCTTAAGGCGAATGGAAGGAAAACATAATAAATTGATTTAATGCCGAAAATAATATTTATTTAAAATAAGCCTAAAATTTCTCAAGAAAGCTATTTAAATAAATGGGTGTTAATTATTTTTAAAAAAAGGCTGCTAATTTTTTAATAGGGTGCTAATTCTTTTTTAAATATGTTGAAAAGTTAATTTAAGATGTCTATCAATCTTTTTGTTTGCTTTCGTTCCCTCTTTGGATATCGGTTTTGAATTCCTTCTTGATTTGGTTTTATTTTATCTTCTAACTTTATATTGCCAACCATTTTTATTGATTCGGTTTCAACTGGTTCTTCGATTTTTTCCTTTTCTTCCCTTTCCCAGGGTTGTTATAGCGGATTCGCCTGGTATACGGCAACTCCTGGTATATCTGCGATGTTTATGACACCCAATACAGCGGTTAACTTATTTTTCAACGTAATCTAATTGTTCCCACTATATATAATGTCTCATAAATGGATTTCATTGATGTAATACCCTGATGACCCGTATGCAATATGTGTAAAACTCTTTTTTGAAGTGAGTACGGAATGATTAATCTGCCATTCCAAAATAAAATACCTTCATCATTTTCTATTTCATCTATTTTTGTTTTAAAAGATTGTAATTCTGGTGCTTTATTTTGTATATTTGTACCATTTATTAATATTTTTACTCTTCTTAAAATTGGATCTTTTGCGGTTTAATCTTTAAATTCTTTTCTAGATAGAGTTAATGTATCATAAGTAAGATTTCTTATATATTTCACTGTTTTATTTTCGCATTCTATCATCATTTTTCTCTATTGGGTTTTGCGATAAAGCATCTGCAATTATATTATTAGCGCAATTCTTGTACATTATATCATAAACATATGCAGATAAATTATACAGGGTTGGCATGTCGGTCAATTGACCGGTCAAATTCGGTCAATTGACCGGAGGAGTATTTGACTGGTCAAATACTCTAAAATATTAATGGCGAATAAATATTTTGATATAATTAACTAGTATGCATTAAAAGCATGTTTATCAATCTTATTAGGTTACAATTATTTAAAAAATTATTTGTATCATGAATTGTTAAAAACAAAAGAATTTTTTTATTGTTAAAATATAAATATGTAATTTTTCTAAATATAGTAATATTTTTAGTTATTTTTTTGCCTAATCATTGCCGTTTCTCGCCTTCTTTATTTTTTTCAATTCATTTTTCTTAAAAAAAATAAAAATACCCGATTTATTATAATCATAATATAATTTTTTCATTCTTATTTTTTAATAAATTTAAATTTTATTTAATATTTAGCCGAGTATAAATTATATTAATTCTCATTTGTTTTACTTACACTTGCTATATTTGGTTTTTAAAATTAATTTTCATTTTAATTGTTCTGGTCAGATTTACGGAATATAATTCAATTCTGGTAAAAAGTTTATTATATTATATTTATAATATTAAGAAATTATTGGAATAATTGGTCGATAATTATAAAATAGTTAAGATTGATTAACTTTACAATAATCAAAATCATTTTTTGTTAAATTTTAATATATTAGGGATTATGGTCAAACCAAAGCATCATGTTTGGAAACATTTTCAAGAAGTACGCGATGGTAAATCAGTTAAAGCGGTGTGCAAGTTTTGCAAGATGTCCTATATCACCCACGTTGATAGAATGGTCAAACATTTATTAAGCAGCTGTACTATGTGCCCTGTTATAATTAAGGAAAAATTTTATTCAAATTACAAAATATCAACCTCTACAAAAAATATCACAAATGTAATTTGTAATACTTCTAAGTCTAACTCTAATGAAGAATTGGGTGAAATTAGTGAGAATGATTATCAAATGAACAATATTTTGTCTTGTGACTCAGGAGAATTTGATTCCCTTATTTCTAATCAATCTACAAGCAAGGCGATTAAATATAAATCTCAATCTTGTATAACCGGTTTCATAGATAGAATTAATCCCAAAGAAAAAAATGAGCTGGATCAATTGTTTGCAAAGGCTGTATATGCGAGCAATTTACCTTTCCACATCACTGAAAATCCCTACATCCAAGAATTTTTTAAAAAAATACGTCCTATTTACACATTACCCAGGAGAAGGCAGCTGGCTGGATATCTTCTAGACAAAGCGTCAGGTGATATGGAGGTGAGAGTTGCAGATATAATAGATAAAGCTCCTTACTTATCAATTGTATCAGATGGCTGGAGCAACATTAGAAACGAGAGTATTATTAATTTTATGGTGATGACGCCTGTTCCAGTGTTCTACAAATTTCTAAATACTGAGGAAAATCGCCATACGGCAGATTATATTGCCCAGGAATTTAAAAATGTAATTCATGAATTGAATCCGGTAAAAGTATATTCTTTAGTTCCTGATAATGCCGCTAACATGAAAGCAGCCTGGAGAATTCTAAAATCTGAATCTATTTATAATCATATACAATGTTATGGTTGTGCAGCGCATACATTGCAGTTATTCTTTCACGATTTTGAACGATTGGACGCCTTCAGTGACCATATTTCAATAATTAAAAAAATTGTTAAATTTTTCAAGAATAAACACATACCAGCTGCAGTATTTTCCCGTAATAAGAATCTTCATGGCATACCATCTACATTAAGTACAATTAGCCAAACAAGATGGGCATCGTCAATAAAATGTATGGAGCAAATTCAAATATGCAAGAAAGCTCTAAAAGCATCAGTTGTTGAAGAAGCTGTTTGTGATAATTGTCCCATAGAAATTACCAATAATATATTAAACGAAGAATTTTGGACGAAAAATTTAAAATTTTTAGCTATACTCCAACCTTTAGCTACCTCATTGTTGAAAGTGCAAGGGGATAAATGTACTTTGGCCCAAGTAAAAAACGAGATGCTTAATTTGGAAAAACACATAATACAATCATGCCATGATTCTATATTTTCTCCATCTCAAGAAAAAAAAATTAAGGTTATGTTTGAAAAGAGAAAAACTGATATAAATACATGTGCTCACAATGCTGCTTATTTATTGGACCCCCAATATCAAGGGGAGCATCTTACTAATACTGAATTTGATGAAGCATGTAATATAATACAAGAATTGGGTATTTTACAAGGTGGTGATTATCAAAATATTTTGAGTAATATAGTAAATTTCAGAAGCAAAAGCGGTATATTTAATAGCCATAATATGTGGAAAGTTGTAACTTCCATAAGAAACAATCAAATTTCGGCCTCAAGTTGGTGGAATGCATTTTGCCCACCTTGCCCATTAAGAGAAGTCGCTAATATTTTACTAACATTTCCTAGTTCGACTTCTTCTTCTGAAAGAAATTGGTCGGTTTGGGGCAATATTCACACGAAAAACAGAAATAGATTAAAGGCTTCTACAGCAGGAAAATTAGTAAGAGTGTATCATAATTTAAGATTGATTAAAAATATTAAAGAAAATAATGATATTGAATATGAATCGGAACAAGACTCTGCCACGGAGGGTGAAACATTGACTATAGAATGAATTAAAAAATATTATGATATTTATTATTATACATAGATTTATTATAATATTATATAAATGCAAAATAAAGTTAATATTGGTGTAAAAAACATTTATTTGAATTTGACCATATTTGACCGGTCAAATATCGGTCAATTGACCGAATTGTATTTGACCGGTCAAATGCACAACCCTGAAATTATAAGCCCAATGTAATAATCTTTGGTTGTTAATGAGCTTAAATCTCTGTTATTACCATATATCTTTATTAAAGGTTTGTGGTCGGTCTGTTCGTATTTTAAATTTTCGTCCATACAAATAGTTATGAAATTTTTCTACACCGGTTATTATTGCTTCTGCTTCTTTGTCTATTGTAGAATAATTCTTTTCAGCATCTTGTAAAGTTCGAGGTGTACGCTATTGGAAATTTATTACCATTATCATATTTTTGCATGAGTACAGCTCCAAATGCTTGGTTAAATGCATCTGTTTCTAATATTAACTCG